ACCCAATACGACTAGTCTAGCCTTTGCCTTCTTTCCGTCAGCACTTGCTTCATCCGTTTCTGCTGCTGGTTTCCACGTGTAAATCCAGCGGCGTCGCATGATGTTCTTCGCTGGAATCTTGCCCTTGGCAATCTTTCGGACCGTTCCGTGTGAAAGCCATGCCCTTACCTCCTTGTGTTTGTCACCGATTTCCCAGTCGTCTCTCTGAGGACGTGTTCGCCGAAGAAGAGCCCGGCGGTTGTCGGTCATGACAAAAGCTTTCCTTGCAAGCTCCCGCAGCTGCAGTTCCTGAAGGAATCGCTGTCCTTCCGGAAGTTGACCTCCTTGTACAGTCCCACTCTCGGCAAGGGTGTGGGACGAAGCATCATCATCCGAAAGAATGGACCCCGGAAGCCTAGGGGAGATCCCTAGTACTGCCTGCTGAGGACTGTATCCTCCTGCTCGACACAAAGTGTTTTTGGCACTGAACACTTGACGCAATGCTTTGCCGAAAGCCTCTGAGCTCTCGATGGGATATTCAAGATCCATGCGGGACAACATGCGTTTGACTGTAGATCCGTGAATTTCAGTACGCCCCAACTGCCAGTGAGAGTCGCTTGCACTCATGTGAACATGTATTCCCGAAGCCTGCGTTTTGGCTGCAAAGGCGTCTGAAACAAACTCCCCTCCCGGATCTACATAGACCTCCCGCGGCTGTCCTGCCCACGAAACCCAGCGTTGCTCAAACAACTCAAGCACCCCTTCAGCCCCCTGAGAACATTCCGCCCCCAGGTGGAACAAAGTACCCTCATCAATGAAATGCACGAAGTGGAATTCCGTCCCGCGACTGCTTCTCCATGATACCAGATCCATGCCCACCTTTGTATTAAACGACAGATTTTCATGGATGGCGGCAGGCCGGCTGGCCATAAAACCCTTTCTTGACTCTGTGCATGCATCACATTGATAGTCAATGGCGGCTTGTTGTACCTCTTTACATGCCCCTCCCTGACGGAGAAATGTTGCAAACTTTTGGGGATCCGGGTGACCTAAGTTATGATGGAGTTGTTTGAGCTCGCTTTGCTCTTGGCTGTTAAGTTTGAGAAACCCTGGCCCATGGTTGGCAATCGGCGGCGGTCCCCAGGCTACTCGGTCTTGGTTGTGACGGTTTTCCGGAGGTTGAGTGTTTGCCTCTTGCATTTCTGCATCTGACTTGATTTCTGGAGCATTGGGAACCTGCGTGGATTCAGCACCCTGACTTGCCTGACTTCCAAAAATTGTGATTGCGATTTTGGCTGGCCGTCCCTTACGAACTTGCTTGTAGCGGGGAAGACTAGTCCACTTTTCAACAGGATCCGCATCTTCAATGATGCCCCTGTTGCGGTTTACGACCACGGTTTTCCGACTTGATACGAGTTCCTGATCATACCTTCCATGTGGAGTTCTGAGCCTATCTACACCACGACAAACCTCAATATGATGTACTTTTAGCTCGGGGACAAGTTGTTGAACAAGGGGGATCACCTCATCTTCTGGGGGAATTACCGCATTTCCTACCCGGGGAATCTTGGGATGTAACTTCTTGAAAATGTGCTGCCAATCAATCATGCCCTCGCCATATCCGTTGTGATCATGAGGACTTTGCTTGTACATGCATCGCCTACGTTTTAGAATTTGACCGCGCTCAGCTGTCATGTCTGATGCATCACGCTTCTCATCACTGAATGCACACAACTCTGCAATTGCAAGCGGGCGCTCATCTCCAAGCTTGGAAATAATGGCACTGAACCCCTTTGAGAACCCTGCCATATACCTAACCTTATGTTCGGGGCCCTTAAGTGGAAGATACCGATGATCCAACTCCTCGTGAACTTTAAGGGAGGTAGTCCTAAACTCAACCCGCTGTCGGAGATAATTATTCCCTTTGAGTCGATGGATCTTCGGTATATAGCCCAAATGATAGTTGGTACTCAGGGTTCCCAACATGACTTCAGAATCATTCTCCTCCAGAAACTGAACAAAATCCCGTGGGGCCCAAATATGAAAATGATTCCCCTGTATGATTTGGTTGAAATACAGGTCTTGACACCATTCTAACATTACCCCCATTTCTTCCCTGCTTAAGTTCTTGAAACCCAAACTGAACCATACATGCCGTGGCTGAAGCTGCATTGCCTTTTTCCAAGACAGAGGAACGGACCTGCGCATCCCGGATGCCCGGTCGGGCGACTTCTGCTTGCTCTCTACGCTTAATCCCGCCATGCTCATGCTGCATAAACCCCGTAAAACCACAGCTAATCTCAAACAGTTCAACGCAAGCTTGACCCGGGATGCTTTGAGACTTTGATACGCGGGGCTGGGACCACAGCATTTCCTGAAAACTATCTTCACACAACGAACACTGCTCGAGAAGCTGACCCTCAATCATGGCCACCTGTTCTGCGGTCAGCCCCTTTTCCTGGACCCGCTCCACCCGTTCCAGGGTGGAACCTTCATTGGAAAATTCTCTCAGCCCAACTGCTCCAGCTGCCTCTGAAGCACCGCGATCTGTGTCAACAAGGCCTGCTTTTGATCCTCGTTGCCCTCCATGTTCATTGCCGTCTCCTGTTCGCTGATCACCTCCCACGTGCTCTGACTTGAGCGCTTGCTGCTCGAGCTTGCACTCTTGGACGTGGCCTTTGGAAGGATTGGCCCTTGCGTCATCCCCCTAGCCGGTTTCTCCGGCTGGCTCTCCATCTTCTTCTGTGCCTTGGCATTCTCCATCGCGCGGCAGAAGTTTTGGAAGCTCACCAGGGACTTGGCCGTGACCCTTCGATTGATGATATATCGAACGTACTCGGGATGGTTGTCGACTGTGTCCAGAAAGGTCTTGCCCTTGAACCTGCCGTCCTCCAGGATGAAGGTGCCCCTCTGGCGAAGCGAATTGACACCGACCGGCTTTGTTGTCTGAGCTGGCCCCACGTAGGTCAGGTTGAGGTCCACGTCCTCCTCGAGGCGCAGCTCCTTGTCCAGAATCTCCGATGGGGTTGCCATGAGGAGCGCCACGAAGCGGATCAACACCAAGTGGATGCGGGGAATCAGGCTGATCTTGAACGGCTGCGCTGTCAGGTGGAACTGCATGTTGAATCTCCAGGACATTCGCAACGTCAAAGTTGACACCCAGAAGCTCGCGAATGTCGATAAGATACAACCCTTTGCTATTTAATGTTAGCCCTGTCCCTTTTCCCGATTCCGGAATCCACAAGGTGTTGGTGTCAAAATTCAATTGACCCCGCAACTGTCGCATCACTGCATTGGACAGGAGGAATGGTGTCTTACCTTTCACAATTTCTACCTTTAGCCACTTCCTTCCATAAGGGATGTAAGCTGAACCCAAACTAGGTAAGACACCATTATTCCCGTATCGAAATATCACTTGCGAATCAGCACGTCTGATCTGTCTTTGGACATGGACTGGAAGCTGGGATACGAATGCTTCAAAGATGTCTTTTCCAATCACCGTCTTGCTGGCTCCTGTATCAAGGATGGCACACTCGGCC